TCTTTTTCCCTCATCAATTCTATGATTCACCTCATCTTTCATAGACCCATCCGCTGACACGTCCACTCCCAAATATCTGAATACATTCACCTCCTCCATACTCTCTCCCTCCAATCTGATATTCAATCTTTCATCACCTAATCTTTTTATCCTCATAACCTTACTCTTTCCTGTATTCACCTTTAATTTTCTTCTTTTGCACACCCTACCAAATTCATCCACCAATCTCTGCAACTTCTCTTCAGAATCTCCCAAGAGCACAGTGTCATCAGCAAAGAGCAGCTGTGACAACTCCCACTTTGTGTGTGATTCTTTATCTTTTAACTCCACGCCTCTTGCCAAGACCCTCGCATTTACTTCTCTTACAACCCCATCTATAAATATATTAAACAACCACGGTGACATCACACATCCTTGTCTAAGGCCTACTTTTACTGGGAAAAAATTTCCCTCTTTCCTACATACTCTAACTTGAGCCTCACTATCCTCGTAAAAACTCTTCACTGCTTTCAGTAACCTACCTCCTACACCATACACTTGCAACATCTGCCACATTGCCCCCATTGCAGTAGTGTACTGTATATTGTAAACAGAATAGAGAAAATCAGCTCTACATTATTTAGGTATGCATACTGGTCAGAGAGCCCATTGTAAGTCCAAGGCGTCGGTAAACGAGTATGTTGTTAAGTGAGGAGAGGCTGCATTACTAACATGCCGAGAGCAAAGGGCTAGTAACCCCTTCTCCTGGACACATTAAGGTTAAAAAGAGAAACTTTTGTTTTTCTTTAGGGCCACCCTGCCTCTGTGGGATACCCCAGTGTGTTGAAAGAAAAATGTACTTCCTGCCCGTGGATGGAGACGCTATTCCTGTAATATAGCCAAGTTGACTTTTGACTACCATGAACTTCCATCCTGTTTATATTGTGTTGTGCATGTGTCTTAATTTCATCCTGTCGGTATTATATACAATTCTTGTACTACTACTACCACCTCTTCCTGCCTATATATAGCCGTCCTGCTCCACCTCTGTTAGTGTGACTTTGCCAATGGTCCAAGTCGGACCGAAACGTCGTCGTAAGCTTCTCTCTTTTATGTGCGGGTTATTTGTGTATTGTGGAACAGTGCTTACAAGTATGGGAATTGACCTCTACACCACAATGTAAAAATTGCTGGTGCTTTGGCCACCCAATGAAATATTGCAGGTCCATGGCAAAATGCCCAGTCTGTGGTGCTGCTGACCATAGCAGTCCATCTGTAGCTAACCTCCCTCATGCCTTAATTGTAATGAGGCTCACCAGGCTTATTCTCGCCATTGCCAAGTTTTCTTAAAGGAACGAGAAATTTGCTGTGTCAAAGAGAAAGGTTTCTCTTATGCCATGGCAGTCTCCCATCTCTGCCTTCAAGGGGGACTTCCACGGCTTACTTATTCCAGAGTTACTAGACAGCCTCCAACCTTGTTAGTACCTACTTCTGCAATCTCTGTAGTCAGAAATTTCACAGTCACTCTGTGTGTAACCCTTTTGCACCCTGGGCTCTGAGGTTCCTACATCTTCATCCTCTCACTCGCATGTTTTTGTGTCTACATAACCTTCCACAACTAAACCATCGCCTCACATCCCTACTTCTCCAGAGTCTAAAACATGACCAAAGTTCAAAACTCCTTTAACCCCTCAATCACATTATCATTCCCAAATATTTTACTTTTCCTGTCTCTTAGCCTAGTCCTTTACCTCTTACTGCAACTGTTTCTGTTGTGGAGGTTCATACACCCCCTTGTACAGTTTCTTCCTCTCCTGTTACCTCTCATGTTTCTTCCCAAGATACCTCTTAACCTCTTGCATCCCCTCCCCCCTTCTTTGGTAACTTCCATTGTCTCTTCGATCTTTACTCAACCTACATCTTCTACCTCTGACACCACGCTACCTGCAGCTTCCCTGTCATCTGACACCATGCTGCCTGCAGCTTCCCTGTCATCTGACACCATGCTGCCTGCAGCTTCCCTGTCATCTGACACCATGCTGCCTGCAGCTTCCCTGTCATCTGACACCATGCTGCCTGCAGCTTCCCTGTCATCTGACACCATGCTGCCTGCAGCTTCCCTGTCATCTGACACCATGCTGCCTGCAGCTTCCCTGTCATCCGACACCATGCTGCCTGCAGCTTCCGTGTCATCCGACACCATGCTGCCTGCAGCTTCCCTGTTACCTACAATGACTGAAGCCATATTCACATTTATTGAGGAAACAAAGCCAGTGATGGGCACCAGTCCATCTCCCTTCACTCCTCCTCCACACCTTACTAGACCATCTCCCTTCACACCTTACTAGACCATCTTCCTCACTTCTCCTTCACACCTTACTCAACCTTCACAACACCTTTCTTCACAGCATTCCAGCCTTCAAACCTTATTAATTTTCTGCAACCTTAGCGTGTAGACTTACTAGCCCTACTAGTGCATAGATAACCACTGTTAATGTTACCAGTATACTTTTATTCGCAAATCACAACTTAGTGGAATATTCAAAGTCTCGGGGGGAGGGAGGGTAATAAGGGTGAGCTTCAAGTGTTGCTCTCCCAGTTTTCCTGCTTGTGTGTGTGTTTATAAGAAAATTGTGCCCTGCTGTTATCCATCCTGTCACGGGCAATATTGTACTGCATTCATTGGATCCGTGTTCTGATGGGACTTTTAATGAAAATGCACTTCTTGTTCACACCAATATACCACATTCTCAGATCTTTGTTTATACTTCACTGCATTACACTTTTGCATCTTTCTCCTTTTCAATCATAATTTATTCTTGATGTTGAATTTCTGGTTACTTCCCTACCCCCACCTCTTCTTTATTAGGTAATTTTAACACTCATCATTTCCTCTGGGGAGGGTGACTTGTGGGGATCAATTACAGGCTTTTCTCACTTCTCTTCCCCTCCATATTTTCAATACTGGTATGCTGACTGTCCCCTAGTAGAAGCCTCTCTGCAGAATACTATTAACTGTGTTTTCCATTGTGCCACTACTTGTGGGTTTAAATTTTCTGTACTAAAATGCACCAGATTACTTTTGCTAGTGTTCTGTTGTCTTTAATACTCCATTATACCTGTATGGTTCCCATATCCCCTAACGTGATAATGGTCAGATTTCTCAGTCTTTTGTTTGATTGCCGGGAAACCTCACATTACCTTCCTGAAAGTAACTTACCACAGCCGGCTGAACCTACTAAAAACCCTCGCCCATCTTTCTTGAGGGCTGATAGACGAATGCTCCTCATCTTCACTCTGCCCTAATCTTATCAAAACTAGATTATGGCAACCAGATATATTCTTCAGCCTCTTCCACAACTCTTTTCTAAACTTGATCCCATTCGTCAGGAATTATGTTCATGTCAGAGTGCTTTTCCTTCCTTCCCTGTCAAGAGCCTATATGCAAAGGCAAATGTTCCATCTTTGCATGGTTAGTGTGATGCCCATTGTCTCCAATATTTTGCCTACTGTCATGACCCTGTTTACTCCATCCCTTTTCTCTTCATTTACCCTCTTTGTATTTTCTTTCAATAACTAGCTTTTCTCTTTTCCCCTTTGGGAGGTTCCAACAATTCAAGTCTGTTCTTCCCCGCTGCCATTCATGAAAGCTCGACTACCTACAGTTGCTTTTCGCTCCCCTTTTCTTAACCACTTCTGATCTCATTCTCATGAAGTTTACACTGATGGTTCTAAATCCTCTGATGGTGTCAGGTTTGCAGCAGTGTTACTAGACAGTGTTGTGTGAGGTCATTTATTACTCGGCATTTTCACAGCTGAACTGTGTGCAGTTCTCATCCCTGTTATACATACTGAATCCATGTCTACTTCAACATTCATGGTAGTTTGACTCCTTTAGTGCTTTGCAGGCAGAAAAAAAAAATTGATTCTTCTCATTCCCTAGTTTTTCATGTACAAATTTGGTTGTGCCACATTTCTGGTAAAAACAGAAATCATTTTCAACTGGGTCTCTGGTCCTGTGGATGTTCAGCAGACACACTGCTGTGTGGCCAACTGTACATGACCTCTGCATTTTTCACAGGGGTATCCCCTTCTCAGACTACTTTGCCATAATCTCTAGATGCCTTCACACCCATTGGCAACAACGATGGTCTGAGTTGATTCATAAAATATATTCTATCAAACAGCATTTAGGCTTCTGTTCTTATCACCACTGTCATGTTTGAAAGATTACCTTCTCCCTCCTTTACATAGGACTCGCATGCCTTTCTCATGGGTATCTCTTGGAGAAGCACCCAGTGCCACTTTGATAGTTGTCAAGTTCTGTTGTCAGTTTGCCATATACTGTACTGTCCTGTCTATCAGCGAGCACACGGAATTTACCTCCAGCATCAACACACTAACTCCCTTTATCTGACCTCGCTGATGGCCCCACCTTTGACACAGACTCCCTCTTTAACTTTTTTGTCAGCTACAGCTTTATTACACTTTCCCTTTAGTACTCTTCTCCACCCTTTCTGACTGCCTCCAGCATCCTTTTCATCCTAACTGGTCTCTGATCTGGCATATTACATCTTTAGCACATCCTACCCTGCAGTGCTGTATGACCCTTGTGAGCTTAGTGCTTAGTTGCAATTATGATAATGACCCCGTCATCAACATTATAGATCTAAGAGTGACCCTGGCATCAGTAATGTAGATCTGAGTGACCACAGCATCAGTAATGTAGATCTGTGAGTGACCCTGGCATCAATAATAGAGATCTCTGTGAATTACCCTGGCATCAGTAATGTAGATCTGCATGAGGGACCTTGGCTTTGGATCAAGTTTGTCTGGTGCTTACCTGGTCAACCAGATGGTCTTGGACCAGGCTTGTTTGGTTAACCAGCTTGTTGGTGCTGGCGGCCCACTGGTCCACGTGTCTATCATAGCTTAATATTACTCTGTATATTTTCAATCTTTGGTGAAAAACAGAAATCTCAGTGACCACTTGCTAAAATTAAAATTTTATTTTCTTTCAGAGATGACAGCATAGTGATGGGCAGCAGGAACACAAGCAGCAGCAGCAGCAGCAGCAGCAACTTGTGGCCTCTATGACCAATATTATAGATGTACAGTTGTAGAAATAACAGTTTATAACCATTGAAGCTTATGTGAATTGTAATAAATAATACTTTAATTGTGGAAAATCAGTGTATTGTGTAGACCACTGAAGACTATTGTGTAACTTGCAATTATTAGTCATGGGGGGGGAGTGCTAAACCTATATGGGTCATACAGCACCTGAGGGAATGGGAGATGTTCAAGTTTAAGGAACTGGAACAGAGGTTCACTTGAAGCCTCAGCAGTGTTAAGGAACATTGCAGGCTCCTTAACCTCTAGATATAGTAACCTCCACTCAAGAGGCAACAATAAAACATTTAGTACAGCAAATTGCTTTTATTATTTGTGTAAATTGTAAGAGTAGGTGAAGTACCCTTGTACATAAGATACTTTATTTCAGCTTGACACAATGTTTGTACAAAGGTGAATGACATTTAGGTGTGTATGCAGAAAGCCCATTAACCCTTTCAGTGTCTCAACCCCTGTTCGAAAACTTGCTCTCAGTGTCGAATTTAAAAAAAAAAAAATTATGATGGAGAATCTTTTTCCAAAGGAAATGAAATCAAAGGTATGAAATTTGATGGGAAACTTATGGAATTATACTCTTGCAAAGTTAGTGGTCTCAGGGATATTTACACATCAGTGATTTCACCCACTTTGAGCCCTATTTTGGGCCTATTCCCCTCTTCAAAGAGGGCTCCTTGATGTGGCAAAGAGGCCCTTGGTCTAAGGAATTAAAAACCCTTTGGTCTCCTTCCTCAGACTGAACCTAAGTACAGAGGACCCCCAACCTTATGATATTAATCCGTTCCTGAGAGCTCATCGTATGCCGAAATTATCGTAAGGTGAATTAATTTTCCCCATAAGAAATAATGGAAATCAAATTAATCCGTTCCTGACAACTCAAAGTATGAAAAAAAAAATTTTTACCACATGAAATAATTTTAATACACACAAACTGACACCTTAATTGAAGATCAGGTGATGATTAATGGGATGAGAGGAGGGGAGAGTGTGGAAGTTGTTAATGTTCAGAAGGGGAATCCCCTTCCATTAGGACTTTAGGTAGCACGTCCTTTTCCGGGGTTACTTCCCTTCTTTTAATGCCACTAGGACCAGCTTGAGAGTCACTGGACCTCTGTCACACAACATATCTGTCCATAGAGGCCTGTACCTCCCGTTCCTTTATGATTTGTCTAAAGTGGTTCACAACATTGTCATTGTAATAGTCACCAGCACGGCTTGCAATAGCTGTGTGAGGGTGATTTTCATCCATAAAGGTTTGCACTTCAAGCCACTTTGCACACATTTCCTTAATCTTTGAAGTAGGCAACTAATTCAATTTCTCTCTCCCCTCCTCCGAAGCAATTTCCTCAGGTCTGGCCTCTTGCTGTTGAAGATGATCTTGCAGCTCATCAGTGGTTAGTTCTTCATTGTCCTCCTCCACATCCTCCCCACTAACCTCCAACCCCAAGGATTTCCCCAATGCCACAATTGATTCCACAACTGGTAAATGCTTCTCAGGGTTAGCCTCAAATCCTTCAGAATCCCTTTTGTCTACACATTCTGGCCACAGTTTCTTCCAAGCAGAGTTCAAGGTCCTCTTAGTCACTCCCTCCCAAGCCTTACCTATAAGGTTTACACTAACTGAGGATACTAAAGTGATCTTTCCAAAACTCTCTTAGTCAGTCGAGTGTCTGAGGTCACTACAAAGCACTTTTGAAACGTAGCTTTTGTGTAGAGTTTTTTTGAAGTTTGAAATGACTTGCTGGTCCATGGGCTGCAGGAGAGGAGTGGTATTAGGAGGCAAAAACTTGACCTTAATGAAGCTCATGTCCCCAGAAAGTCTCTCTCCCAACTCTGAAGGATGACCAGGAGCATTGTCTAATACCAGGAGGTACTTAAGGTCCAATTTATTTTCCAGGAGGTAATTTTTCACAGTGGGGGCAAATGCATGGTGTAACCAGTCATAGAAAAAGTCCCTAGTGACCCATGCCTTACTGTTTGCCCTCCACAGCACACAAATTAGCCTTGACGACATTGTTTTGCCTGAACGCTCTGGGAGTTTGAGTGATACACCAATAAAGGCTTCACTTTGCAATCACCACTAGCATTAGCACACATCAAGAGAGTAAGCCTTTCATAGGCTTATGTCCTGGGAGTGCCTTTTCCTCCTGAGTAATGTAGGTCCTGTTTGGCATTTTCTTCCAAAACAGGCCTGTTTTGTCACAAACACTTGTTCAGGTTTCAGTCCTTCACTGTCTATGTACTCCTTGAATTCCTTCACATATTTTTCAGCCTTATCACACTATGTATGCCACTACGATTCTTAAATCTCTCAAATCAACCTTTGCTGGCCTTAAATTCACTCACATCACCACTAGTTGCAGGCATTTTTCTAATTAAATCCTCATGCAACTTCCTAACCTTTTCACATACGATTTCTTGAGAGATGCTATCTCCTGCTATCTGTTTTTCGTTTATCCACACCAATAACAGTCTCTCAACATCTTCGAGTACTTGCGATCTCTTATTTGAAAACAAAGTTGCACCTTTTGCAAGAACGGCTTCCTTGACTGCCGTTTTGTTGGCCATGAGAGTAACGATGGTTGATTGGGGTTTGGTATACAACCTGGCCAGCTCCGAGACGCACACTCCACTTTCATACTTAGCAATTATCTTTCTTCATTTCCATAGTAATTTTCACCTTTTTTACTGCACGGTTGGCACTAGAAGCTTTCTTGGGGCCCATGGTGACTTATTTTGTAGGTACAATCACTAAAAACACTGTGATAATATGAAATGTTCCGATTGTATGCGTGGATGTGATCGCACTGGCTGGCTTGTAAACACTGGCACCCACAGGGCACCTGAGGCGCGCTTGGGCCACACGTGGGACGCGTCTCAGACGAATCACGTGAGGTGATTTAGCGTGAGGCGAGGCAAAATTTTTGCGTTAAAATTTATCATATGGTGGATTTAATGTAACGTCATGCCATCATAAGGTGGGGGTCCACTGTACATGTACCTCCCAATCCTCCCTTCCCTATCCTATTCTCCCCATCCCCCACCTTTTCCCCCCCTTTCCTCCTCCCTCTTAACTCTCCCCTTTCCCAGTCCTATTTGTTGTCTGTAGGGTCCTCCCCTCAGGCATTATGGTTTCTAGGTAGAAGGTAGTGTGCTGGGGTTTGTCCCACTCTGTGGAGTCCCTTGGGCATGGTGTAGTTTGCCATGGAATCTGAATTGTCCGGAGGTGCCCTGCTTCCTTCCCAGATTTCTGAGAAGTGGATGGGGTGTCCTGCAGAAGCTGGGTGTATCTCCAGATGCTGCCTGTCAGTTCTGGGAGGTGACAGCTGAAGGAGGTATGCTTTGTGGCGAGTTTCCGACCACCCTTTTTTGTCCGCCAAGGTGGCTTGGTAGATGTGCGGTTGCTATCCCAGAGCACTGGTTTAGTAGCATGAAAGGTAGGGTATGGCACGGGTTCCATGCTGCATCTGCACTGCTTGTGGGCTCGAGGCCCTCTCAGATGAAAAGACGAACTTACGGCCCTTCCATGCCTTCTAGTGACTGTCCCTCCCGTCCCTCTTTTTTTCTTTAAAATAACAAGAAAGTGTTGAATGATGAAAGTATTTTCTTTTTGGGTCACTCTGCCTCGGTGGGAGACGGCTGACTTGAAAGAAAGAAAAAAAAAAAGCACCATTATCATGAACTGTTCATTCTGTGATAAACTAACAAGAAGCACCACTGTCATGGAGTGTTTGTTCTGTGATAAACTAACAAGAAGCACCACTGTCATGGAGTGTTTGTTCTGTGATAAACTAACAAGAAGCACCACTGTCATGGAGTGTTTGTTCTGTGATAAACTAACAAGAAGCACCACTGTCATGGAGTGTTTGTTCTGTGATAAACTAACAAGAAGCACCACTGTCATGGAGTGTTTGTTCTGTGATAAACTAACAAGAAGCACCACTGTCATGGAGTGTTTGTTCTGTGATAAACTAACAAGAAGCACCACTGTCATGGAGTGTTTGTTCTGTGATAAACTAACAAGAAGCACCACTGTCATGGAGTGTTTGTTCTGTGATAAACTAACAAGAAGCACCACTGTCATGGAGTGTTTGTTCTGTGATAAACTAACAAGAAGCACCACTGTCATGGAGTGTTTGTTCTGTGATAAACTAACAAGAAGCACCACTGTCATGGAGTGTTTGTTCTGTGATAAACTAACAAGAAGCACCACTGTCATGGAGTGTTTGTTCTGTGATAAACTAACAAGAAGCACCACTGTCATGGAGTGTTTGTTCTGTGATAAACTAACAAGAGGCACCACTGTCATGGAGTGTTTGTTCTGTGATAAACTAACAAGAAGCACCACTGTCATGGAGTGTTTGTTCTGTGATGACCCCTTCCCCCCTCCTAGACCAAACCCTTTTCTGTTCCCACATCCTGTTCTGACCTGGCTTCATTATTGGATCATTCTCTAGGCTCTTCTCATACCCCTGTACCTTCTGCTGGTGACGTTTCGTCACCTCCAGGTGCTGAGGCACCACCCGTTTCTGTTAATACCTCTGCCTCTTGCACACTTTTAACAATGCGTCCGGCTTCCCCGAATATGGTGTGACGGTCTTTGGATCACCCACCTCCCTTAGGTCGGACCGCCTGCAGTACTACAGTGGAACCTCTACTTGTGAGCGCATCCATGTGCGAGTTTTTCTAAATATGAGCAGTCGATGGGTCGATTTTTTGTTTCCACAAGCGAGCAGACCTCAAGGCAGGTTCCTTGAAGCTGGTGAGGGGCTCTTGATCTTGATCTAGGGAATTGTATCTCATTTGTTTGTTGGACTATCTTATTGAAACTTGGGCAATGTATGATGGAAAGATGCTTCTTAATATACACCAAAAATTAAAGAAATCTAAGCATAAATAATGGAGTTCACTTCTCAGCAATTAGCCACCCCTTAGCGGTATTTCTGTATGGTTTTTATGGTTGTATTCTCAATGTTTTGGTCTCGTTTGATAGAATGGAAGGTATATTACAAAAATAGATACGATTTTGATTGCTTTCATGACAAAAAGTACCTTGAAATTGAGCTCAACACAGGAGAAATGTTAGATTGTTTTGGCTGTGTTCAAGAGTAAACAAATGATGTCACTGTCTATTCCACTATGCAATCGTGAATTGGTTGACATTATTTATGCAATTATTGCAATATGGCATAACAATAAATCTTATATTTTTTTTATTATTTTTTTTTATTATCACACTGGCCGATTCCCACCAAGGCAGGGTGGCCCGAAAAAGAAAAACTTTCACCATCATTCACTCCATC